AACTCTTGACTTTGCTTGAAAACGTACTTAGCAACTGAGTGAGCAGCAGAATTGCTCTCCTTAGACATAGAGGCGAACGAAACCGATGTCAACCTGCATGCTAGAACCTCAATATCCCCAAGAATACAATCCAGACTAAAATCCGGCAATTCCTTCCTGAGCATCTTGATGATCGACTTTGTGTCAAATTCAATGATGATTTTGTTAAAGCCGAGATTTGTGCAAGCCAAAATAGCCTCGCGAATGGCATAAGCTTCTCCCGCCGCAGCAGAATGACAGAGACCGGTGCCCGACCCACCTACTGCTTGGATCATTCCTGCAAAATCATGGCACACCCATCCCACACCCATCCGAAGAGTATTCTTGCACCAAGCAGCATTAGTATTGACTTTTATAAACCCAAACTCAGGTTTCGTCCAAGGCGCACCCCGTCGCCCCGCAACCCATGTCTCCGAGTCACAAGCTGGGTAGTCACCACCTAACTCCATGGGCGTGGCGTCTCTGAACTCGGATAAATTCCTCCTCCAGATGTTCAAAACCTCCAAGGGCTGTTTTTGCTTACCATTAAACACAGTCTCGTTCCTATTTTTCCACAATCTTGAGAGGCCGAAGGCAAATTCCTACATAATCTCATTAGCTTCCACCCTACCCTTGACACTTTTATAGAAGATCTCTCAATTAGCCAAAAATTCCACGCCAGCCAACTCATGGGAGTTTAGATGTAGGGGAGAGCAAAACCAGAATAGGTGGCTTAGCTCACAACAGAAAAAAAAAAGATGATTTTTCGTCTCCTCCGCTGCACCACAGACCCCACAGACATTATCGATCCTCATGCACCGTCGTTGAAGATTATGTTTAACCGCCACAACTCTATTACAACAGTGCCATATGAAGATTTTTATTTTATTTGGCACTTTCAACTTCTAAATTTGATTCCATACCTGATTGTTCTTCTATCTTTCACTAGGGGCTCCGCGTCCTTTTCTTCCCAAATCGCCGTTCTCCATAAGGTTCACTGCCACCCCATACCCGAATCGAACCGAGTATTCACTGTTCACATTATAATGCTAAACTAATCTATCCAGGCAGCCAGTCCTGCTTAAGGGAATGCTTAAAATCAGAGCCACATCATCCCGATTGAAACCCGCCGTAATCCAGTCAACCTTCCAAGATTTTGTGACCGGGTCTATGAGGTCACTCACTATGCAGCCCAGTAGATTATCCCGGGGTTGAACTTTGAAAGTAGAAGGTTTATGGAACCAAGGGTCCTCTCTTATATTAATCTGAGTGTTGTTTCCCACTCTCCATCTCAGCCCATTCCGCAGCACTTTGCAAGCGTCGAAGATCCCTTTCCAACCCCAAGATGTGTTCCTCCCCTTACCAGCCTCCAAAAGGCTTTTCTCTAGGAAGTATTTATCCCTCAGGATTGTTGCGAGCAGGGGCAAAGGGTTCTGAATTAGACACCAGCCAATCTTGGCAAGGAAGGCTAAGTTGAAGCATTAGATATCTCTAAACCCCAACCCTCATGACCGGTTTTGCTTCTTTAGGCAGTCCCAAGAGATCCAATGAATCCCTTTGCGCTAATCACTGCCACTCTACCAAAAATTATGGATAGCTTTCTCAATGTCTCTGCACACCCCAATAGGTAGCTTGAAGCAGCTTATAGCATGGTTTGGCATAGCCATGGCCACCGCCTTAACCAGAGTTTCCTTCCCTGCTTGGGATAAAAATTGTTCGGCCCAACCGGTCATACGGGTCTCAAGTCTATCCCTAACCTCCTTAAATACAACTTTTTTTGAATGTCCAAAGTTGGCCTGCAAACCAAGATACTTCCCAAACCCCACCTTGCATTGAATACCCATAGTCATCCCTATTTCCAACCTAGTACAGTTCCGAGTTTTTGATCTAAAGAAAATTGAGCTCTTAGACAGATTGAGCTCCTGCCTAGACCCCTGGCATAATTCTTCAGTATATCCAAAAACCCTTGTGCCTCCTCAGCCGTGGCCTTACCAAACAGAACCGAGTTGTCCGCGAAGAACAAATGGGTGATCGGGGTTCCGTCTGGTGACACTCTATACTCGTTGATTGCACCCTTTTCCAAACCATTTTTTATCAACATAGACAAACCTTCAGTGCACAAAAGAAATAGATATGGAGATAGGAGGTCACCTTGCCTTAACCCCTTCTCTAGCAGAATATAACCAGTCGGGGTTCCATTTATTATAATACTGAAGGATGTATAAGATATGCATTCCTTTATCCAGCTGCAAAATAGAGGCGCAAAACCCAACTTAGCCATCATAGAGAGCAGAAATTCCCACTTCATGCGGTCGTATGCCTTAGCCATGTCCAGTTTAATAGCTATCCCGGCCTGGTCATCCTTTTTTTTATGGAGAAGCGAATGAAGGATCTCGTGCACAACCAGGATATTATCTTGAATTTGCTTCCCAGCAACGAAGGCAGATTGGTTCTCGCTAATCACTTTAGGTATCACCAATTTCAATCTGTTCGTAAGGACCTTGGCAAGAATCTTGTAGATCACACTGCAGAGCGCTATTGGCCGGTATTGAGTCATGTTCTTCGGACACTTAACCTTTGGAATAAGCACTAGGTTGGTATGATTAAGTTTCCACAGTAGCACACCTGAATGCCAAAAAGCTTTGATGATCCTGATTACATCTTTCCCTACAGTGTTCCAATGGTCCTGGTAAAAATAACCAGAGAAACCATCGAGCTCGAGGGCTCTAGTCGGAGGGATTTGAAATGCCGCCACAATAATTTCTTCCTCAGTGACCGGAGCAGTCAGGGCCAAGTTATCCTCATGAGTCACCCGTGGCTCCAAGCCGTTGTCAAGGATATCAATTTGAACAGGGCTGCCGGTTCGGAATAAATCCGAGAAATAGGAGGTCACAATTGAGCTGATCTCAGTCTCATTCTCCTTCCACACCCCCTTCTCGTCCATCAAGCCCCGAATTTGGTTGGATTTCCGTATTTTCATTGTTTTTGTGTGAAAGAATTTAGTGTTCTTGTCACCCTCTTTGAGCCATTGGTTCCTAGACTTCGTCTTCCAATAGGTCTCCTCGTTTTTGTGGGCAGTCCTGAGCTCCTTCTCAGTTTGACCTCATTCGTAGTAAAATCACAGGATTTGTAAGCTGCTCTGATTTCCTCTTTCAGTAGTTCGATGGATTTCTTAGAATTTCTCCCTCTCCCTCTGTACCACTCATTGAGAGTTCTCTGGAGCTTTTTCATTTTTTCACAAAATCGGAATGCGTGTGATCCCTCAAGTCTATCCCACCATTCCCCTGCCACCAAATCACGACACTCTTCCATTTTACTCCACCGGGCATCGAAGGAAAATTTCCTGCCTGTCCACGCCTTAACTTTCTCCGTATACATGAGGAGTAGAGCATGGTCGGAGCCTTCTAGAACAACGTGCCTGATAGTGGTATCAGGGTAGAGGTCATGCCATCCCAAGATAGCTAGACCACGATCAAGCCGCTATTGGATTGGCCTAGCCTCCTGATTGTTCCGCCATGTGAACGGGTATCCTTCATATCCAAGGTCCATTAGCTCATTCTGAGCCACAAAGTCCCTGAAGTCCTGCATGCTAAATGCCATTCTCTGGTTTCCACCTTCTTTTTCCTCGTTACTCAGGATGTCGTTAAAATCCCCGATGAGGAGACATTTATCCTTGTCTTTCTCTAGCCTTTTACTCAGGTGCATCCATTGGTCTTTCCGTTTCTTCTCAGTAGTGCTAGCATAAATGCCAAAAAGTCGCCATTGACATTTGTTGCTCTCATCCCACAGTCTAACTTCAATCACAAAGTCATCAGACTTTACCGCAACCACCAGTGCAGCGTTGCTCCAAAATTCGCAGAGACCTCCTCCCATACCTTTCGGTTCCACAGCATGCAGGTAATCCAAACCCAAACTCTTTCTTAAATATCCATAGCGACTACTGTTGTTCTTTGTTTCCAATATGATCACTATGTCAGGGGTGTGGAGTCGATTCTACTCCAATAGGTTGTCAACTGTCAGGTTACCCCCAATACCCTGACAGTTTCACGTGATTAGCTTCATGGGGACTTGGGAGACCCCTTACGGTTGGTCTCTTCCGCCTCGATAACAAAGCTCATCCTTGGCTTGGTGTGGACTGGCTCTACATAAAGATCAGGTTCAGTATACTCCACCTCATGATGCACTTGTTTTTTCCTTTTGTGCTCGTTCATAACAACCTCAATGATGGGTGCTAATTCAAACGGGTCGTCCCCCATAACCTGGTCCTCCTTAATGCTAGCTTTTCCACTCATTTGGTCAGTTACATTCATTTCCCTGTTAGTCTGCCCACATTCTGTACCCTTGGCAACAATTGGCAAGATATTTAGGTCGAATCCTTGGTCAGTCCCTGATAGCCACCGTATTCAAACTTTCCTCTTGCTTTTGCATTTCGTGGAGGACAACATTGGCTGTCCCAGTAGCCACCACACCCCCCGAACCTATGAGCCCTGCATCAAAGGCCAGTTCTCTAGCTATTCTAGCTTCCTCCACATCCCTGCGTTGACTATAATAAGTTGACATTCCTTTTAATGAAGGTATGAAGATGCTTCTTTGAGCTATTTTCCTCAACTACACTAGCATACTTACATATTGACAAGGCAAGACATTATTGGAATATGATTCTCTCTCATTTTATTCTCATCTTCTTCACTCCCCTTCTCTCACACATTATTTTTGTCTTATTAACCATAAAATATTAATATAAAATATTAACGTAACTTAACTTTAACTGTTCAAGTAAGAGAGAGAAAAGAATATAGATTAAGATAGTAGAGAATCCATCGACATAATTGGCATCACCCTTCACGCTACACAGAACACAGCATATCCCCACCTAGAAAAGCACCTTATAGGAACAGAAACGTACTCTGACCAAAAAAAGAAACGTATAGTTTATACTAGAGAAAGTTGATGGAATACTTTAATGCAAAAAGATGCGGAGACTCACATGACTATTTGGTATAAATGAGCAACTTAGCATTGTTCTCTCCCGACTGAGATTTCAAAGCCAACCCCCTCCACCAAACCCAACCCTTAACAAATTCAATTCAAACATTTTATAAAACAAAATCTCCTATTTTTTCTGAGAGCTACTCCTACTTCTCCGATCATAAAAAAATAAATAAAAACCAGAAAAATAGTTCCTTTGCTTTTCATAGTTGTTTTTTATTTTTTATTGGAAAAGCTTCGATCTTTACTATATATTGAAGATCTACCGCTCTGGGTTTAACTTACTCAACCTTTTCAGGTAAACAAAACTCATAAATTCTTTCATTTGTGTTCTTTGTTTTTTGCTCCATCACCCCATTGATTTGATGTGATTTGATCTCTTCTGTTTTTTTTGTTCTCTGCGCCTTCCACAGAAACCACTTGAATTTTCACCATGATCTACTCTGTGAAGCAATACTCCGCCGTGACAAACGGGTCCGACATCTTTCTGCGGCGGAGCACACGGCCGACACAGGTGCAACGATCACTGCTTTTTCCGTCTCTTCAGGTGCAAAAGACTCAGAGACGAGTAATGTCGGTCCAAAGGGCCTTGCACCTGTCTGGAATCGGGAGTCTTGTTGGGTTGCTAAAGCCGACTCGAACAAGTGTGAACAAATGTCAGGCGTTCGAGGCCGACCGATCACAGCCGATCGAGTCCAACGTCGACATTGCGAATGTCGACGCGAAAGTGGAGGCGGCAAAGAAGCTGAAGATCGGCGTATATTTTGCTATGTGGTGGGCGCTGAACGTGGTGTTCAATATATACAATAAGAAGGTGTTGAATGCTTACCCCTTCCCATGGCTTACCTCCACTCTGTCTCTGGCATGTGGGTCTTTGATCATGCTGGTCTCCTGGGTCACCAGGATTGCTGAGGCCCCCAAAGTTGATATGGAGTTCTGGAAAGCTCTGTTTCCTGTGAGTTGAATTGGGTTTTTTTATTTTTTTGTTGTTGTTTTCCTTGTACATATATATGTATATATGCTTTTGAGGTTTCCGAGAAATGGAGGAGAATAATGGAAAGTGAAGTTTTTAACTTGTTATGTTTGATGGTCTTGAAAATTCAATATCGGGAGCCATTTAGGATTGTTGGGTGTCTTAATTGTGTGAAGATAATTTTGTTTGGTTGCTGAGAAAATTAAGATAAAGGAAAGAAGGTGAAGTTTGAGAGGTCTCAAATGTTGACAAAGTTATAGAGATTGAAGTTTTTCTTTCCAACCAAACAATGACTTAGAGGCTTTGGTGGTTTGTTGTCATTTTGCTTGAAAATTCGGTTTATGTTTTCGTTATGGGTGTAATTTTTATTGTTTGATTTGTCCGTGAACCAGGTTGCTGTGCACATACAATTGGGCATGTTAGCAGCTACGTAGTGATAAAAGGTTGGAGTTTCTTCACCCATATATCAAGAGTGGAGAGCCAGCTTTCATTGTATTTGGTTTCAGGTTCTGCTTGGGCGAGTGTTTCCCTATATCAGTCCTACCTGTCCCTCCTTCCAATCATCGGTGTTGCGGTCTTGCGCCTGACAGAGCTTAATTTAACATGATAGTAACCATTTTTGTTCTTTTGTACAGAGGGAATGGAATTGTAAAATTATGGTTTGGATTTATTATTTTCCCTGAGTGGTATTTTCAAATCTTTTGTCAGTCTCGTTGGAAAAGAAAGCAAATATATAGTAAAAAAAAATCTTTATTGTTGGGGGAGTTTGTGCAATAAGGCTAAGTTAGCTTAAATGCTGCTCAGTCAAGATTAAGCCACGTAAGATACAATATTATGCCTCAATTCTTAACTGCAACCGAAATTAATTTCCATTTCCCAATAGTTTCAAATTACCTCAATCTCTAACCAAAGAAAAATGTGTTTCAGTTTAAATTTCTTCTTTATTCTTGGAGTTGGTTGTCAGCTTCTTTCTCCTTCCAGTGTTTTCCAAAAACCGGGATGAGTTTCTGGCCAGTTGCAGGGTTTTAGTGTGATTAATTACTCTGCCATTATATTGTATAAAAAAAGGTCGTACCTAGTGCACAAGGCTCCCGCTTTAACAGTAAGGGAGACTATGTGGTCGCTAGCCTTACCCCCATTTTCCTCCCAATGCCATTATATTGTATAAAGTGTAATTTTTTTTCTTTTCTCTAAGGTTCTAGAGTCTTAAATTTGGTCCTTTTGCTGGTTGTTTCAGGATTCATGGGGGCCATGATATCAAACTTGGACTTTCTATTTCGACAGAAGGGCATGAAGGGGAAGTCTGTTAGCGGAAAGAACTGATGCTCTTTATCTTATATTCTCTCTCCTAATTCTCATACCATTTTGCGATTAGCGTGGAAAGGACACAGATGTGGGAAAGCTGGATTTATACAGCCTTCGCTCAAATTGGACCAACTTGATATGGTAAATTACATGTCATCTAACTAGATTCGGCCTGTTACTGGCTATGAATGTTATGTGTGGTTAGATTTTCACCATTACTGTTATGGAAGGTAAGTTACAAGAAGTATAATATAATCAGATGAATCTCGTCTAACTGTTCATCTTCAACTTTTACACGCAAAAAGTATAGAATCTTGAGCTTTTTCTGAAACATGTTTCCTATAGTTTATAATAGGTTATGACAAGATCACTTTTATTGTTTTCTTGGAGGAGTTTAACCAGTACTAAATATGTGTTAATTATTGAAATGCTGCTGTATTTACAGTCATGACCAAAGGAGGCTGGTTACTTCATTATAATGTATGCAATTCATTTATTTTTATTTCGTGTATGGAGCCAGAAACTTTTGGCAATGTGTTGTAAATGCTGATTGGAACTTGAATCCCTGTAGGAGCAAAGTTTGTGTTTGTTCATTATTATATAACAGTGAATAAATTTTACTGTTACGATTATTGTTTTCTATAAATTACTTACGAGTTGCTGTTGATTATAGAATAGTGGTGCGGTCAGAGTGTCTTCTATCAATTACAACAAGTGTCATACAGTCCCTGGAATGAGATTTCTCTCCTGACAATAGCATAGGAAACACCAGTGAAACGTACTATCCGTGGAGTATCCTCATCAACATATTACACCCCCTGTCCCCCCGTCAAGCCCTCTCAAGCCTTTATTGCATTTTTGGAACCTTCTTGTATTCAGGTACTCTCCAATTTGCTATTTTATAATTTACTTGTGATATTTTTGCTAATTACGCCTTTTTAATAATTATTTGTTTATTTCCCAATTATTTCCCGCACTTTAAGTTGTTAGGACGTGTGCCAACCGTTAATATATTCGGAGAGAGTGATGGCAAATTGGCCAACCTATAGATCTAGACAAATTATATGTTTGCATTCTTCGCATGGCTTTTGTTTGTACGTTAAAGGTGCCAACAAGAAATTTGGGGGATTTTTTTGTTGGTTGTGAGTTGTACCACGAGGCTTACGATAGTGATGGCATCGGTACCTCAAACTAGGTATTTTCTTTTTACGTTAGACCTCTACTTTCTTGAACCTACCTTATTGAAGGTTTAGGTGGAGGCTCAATTCGGGGTAGATGTATATACCGGCGAGGATCATGTTCCGTTGCCACTAGTTAGGATGTTGTTTGTAGTGTTAAGTGGTGTTGGAACCATCAACCCCTCTACTTTACTGTGAATTTATAAGTTTATTTCATCATTTATTCCATTAATTAATGTCAAGAACGCTATTAGGCGTCTAATTTGACACCGAGCGCATGATGTTGGAATATGCTTTGGTTTCCCCATTGTGATACTAAACACAAATATCTGCTCTTTCACCGTAAACAACATACCCTTTTGTTCAGGTAAAGCAGTGAGAAGCTCGGGCTCGAGGAAATTTACCTGCATGCAACATAAGCGACGGGAAAGGGAGGAGGCAGAGGCGTTTACTGAATTTTGGTCGTATGAACCAAGAGCGTAATTGTAGATACCAATAATGATCGAGACAACATTTCCACCTGAAGAACTAGGCAGGTTTTTTGTTTTCTTTTGTTTTTTCATTATTTTTATTTTAACGATGTTGGAGGGAGAAATAATCCAATAATAAGCAGGGTATAAATGTCAATGTGGACCATTGAGAGCATATTCCAATGGGGTGTGATATCCATACACCCCTTTTTACTTCTCCCACACCTTTTTAGTTTTCGGCCGTCGGATTGGATAAATTAAAGAAGATCAACGGACATAAATTAAAAATGTGTGTGAGAAGTAAAAAGGGTGTGTGGATAGCACACCCCATTCCAATTGGATTGGTGTGTGTATGCTTCATTAGACATCATGAGGATTGTATTCCGGATTATAAATATATAAAGGCAGCATCGTCCTGCTGCTGCAGTTTTTGTTTCCTTCATGTGTGCTTTAACTTAAATAATGAGGACTTGGGTCTTAGCCCATCCTAGGCTCAGTGCGTATTTGTTTGGGCCCAAAATAACACTTTGGGCCGATCCTCGAATTGTTTTTTGGTCCAATGAAGAATATCGGGAATATTCTTTGTCATGGCTGAGTCCAGTAGAGTTCGGCCGAATCCTATCGGAAGATGGTTTTGCCTGGATAAGGGTGAAGTGGTTGAATCCTAGTGCAGTAAGGATTCTTCAGAAGTTAAGGATGTTTCAAATAAGAAAAGATGTCGAGAATCAAGGGATTGAATCTAGGTGATTAAAGAGCTTGGTTTAGAATCCTATGGGGTTAGGAATTTCGGAGCTAATCAGATTAGGGGTCTAGTCCAAGAAATTTCTAATTAGGGAAAGTTAGGGAATTACTCATAAAGAGGGGAGTGTATCATTCAAAGCTCTTTCCAATTCAACACAAAACTGCCCTGCGCAAACTTCTCAAACATCTTGAGATTTTTATTTTCTTTTTCTCGCCAAACAACATCAAGTTTGGATAAACAGCACTGTGGAGACAACCAGCAACATCTTCAGTTTGGATAAATAACACTGGAGCTGTAGAATGAGCCGACTGAGGATAAACAGCACTGCTTTGAAACCGACTAGTTATCTATCCAAGTCTCGGTCAACGAGGATTTGCAAGTCCTTGTTGGAAGAGGTTATCTCATCAGTCTCTGGCGGCGTTGAGTGAGTGTTACAGCTCCATATTGAAAGCCGAGTTTATTTTATTATTGGATATTCACAAGTATATTTTAGAGTTCGACATTCCGACGGTTGAACTACATTTACAATCAAGACACTTATCTCTTTTGAGTATTTGTGTTTGCACAAATATAATTACTAAGACCAATCCCGGCGTCAATGATTCGTGAACTTCGAAGAACTAAGAACAGGCTCTAGAAAAAGGCGGGCGAGTCCTTCCTCGGTCGCAATTGCAAGACGCAGAAGTTAGCAGCGCGCCCAACACCACATCAACATATTTTACTCCCTAGCCGAACTTGGCCAACGAGTTGGCACGCCTCGCATTCAACCGAATGACGTAGTTAGCTTATTAATTACTTGGCTTGCACATCCCATAGGCTAGATAGTTTTTAGGGTCAACAATATCACAAGCCTCTTTTGAGGACTTGGGTCTTAGCTCAATTTTTTATTTTTTATTTTGTTTTTACAGATTGCCCATTAAAAGAGATTAAAGCTGCGGACTAGAATTAGTTTTAGGGAAGTGATCCTAGTACAAACAAACTAACTCTATAGAAAAACATAAGAGCTTTTGTTGATCAAGTTTATATAAAGTATATTAATTTTCGTTTTGTACTATGAACTTCACAACATATGTACGTCAGTCCAAGTTTTTCTTCAACTCAGGTACTTTCGCAAGTATTGGTGGCTTAATTTTCAATTAACCCCTTCAACTAAAAAAAATAAAAAATTCAATCAATCTTTGTTGGGGACTTTTAGGTTGAGCTGGACTTGGGATTTAAGGGCATCCTCTTGTCTCCCTTGATTCAATTTCGTACCAAGTCCTGGAATATCTTGAAAGAAATAGCATGTCTTAAGAAATATCCAGGTTGGACCAATGACTCGAAGATAGCATGGTTAAGCAAATAATGGCTTGCTCAAGTAATGCATGGTGCGGAAGCTAGAAGTTTATCAGTTTAACATGAGAGAGGGAGAGAGAGTTTGCATGCTTACATGAAATTCTTGGTTGGATAATCTGGGTTTCCTAGGGTGGTAACGTAACAAGGCTTCTAATGGCTCGAATGCTCAGAGGAAAAGCTATGGAAAATATTAATGACGTGTTTACGTACCTGTAATCGAAATCAAATTGTGGAATTGAATTCCGATTATAGAGTATTCCAGCGTTTACTAAATCCTAAGGAATTGAAAAAGTGGTGGGACCCACAAAAATTTTGGAATTCAATTCCTTCTTTTGGAGGATTTGGACTCGTGTGATATATGAGGTATTTCAATTCCGTCTGCTGTGGGGAATCCGGAATACAAATTTTGTACCACTTATATCCTCACTTTATTTTTAAAATTCCGGCACCCTTGCCTTTAATAAAGATATAAGAATACCACCACCCGCTTCCCCAACATGCTAGTGCCGACCCTTCCCCCAACCCCAACCACCCATATCCTAGCGACCCAACCCAAAACTCCAAATTCTGCACGTTTCCCTAGATGAAAATTAAATTTGCAACTGGGGCAAGAAAAGATGAAAGAGATCAAGAAGAGAGAAAAAAAAAAAAGAGAAAGGGGGATAAGAGAGTGTTAAGTGGAGTTTTTTGCCATCAGATGGTTTGGTGGAATAGTTGAAAGTTAATATATATATATATACTTCACTCAATATATATATTATATAATATGAAAATTTTTAAAATTTTATAGATTTTATAAGGGCATTTTGTAATCATATTGAATTTATTCCGATTCTAGTGAATTAGTAAACACTTATATGGAATCAGTACTTTTTTTACTCCGATTCCAGAAAATTTAAGTAAATGTACATCTAATTCCAAACCTCCTCAATTCAATTCCTCTCATTTTGATTACAAATTAGTAAACGAGCCATGAGGTTGTAGGGGGAGATGTTTCTTGGGGTTTCAAGGGTGTTTGCACTTGGGGAGAGATTTGGTGCAGTACTTACTCTAACGTTCTCACCCTCTGAGTTCTTGGATCTCTGTTAATGGCCATCCCCTCCTTCTTGCAGGTGGATGACTCCCTTCTAGAGTTCCTTAAGGAATCTCTAATTGTGGCTCGGTCCTCCTTCCCCTTTTTCCCTAGTTCTTTTGCCTTTCTTGGTGCGTTGGCTTAAGTCTTGCTAGGTACAGTGGGTTTCGTACAAGCAGGATTTAGTGACGAGGGGCCTCACATAAATGTAAAAAAAAATA